AGGCTAGCACTCTACCACTTGAGCCATAGCACCACCTCTGGCTTTCTCTGTTTTTGTGGTACTGAGGAATCAAACCCAGGGCTTCCTGCATGCTAGGCAAGCACTCTACCACTAAACTACATTCCCAGCCTCTGTGTTCTCTGTCAAGGTGTGGCTCTGTGGTAGGGCATCAGCCAAGAGTCAAAGCATGAGTTGGAGTTCCAGAATAGGCGTGCGCGCACACGCGCACACACACACACACACACACACACACACACACACACAGTGCTTTGATCTTCCTGGAGAAGTGAGCGTTCCTGTGTTCTTCATAGTGGGATGGAGAGAATGTTATTGGTATGAATGAAGACCAAGCCTTTGAATTGTATTTTGAAGGCAGTATGTTCAAAAAATAGTTTCTGAGGGGCTGGGAAGGTGGCTCAGTGGTAGAGTGCTTGCCTTGCATGCATGAGGCCCTGGGTTCGATTCCGCAGCACCACATAAGCAAAAAGAAAAAAGCTGGAAGTGGCGCTGTGGCTCAAGTGGTAGAGCGCTAGCCTTGAGCTGAAGAGCTGAGGGACAGCGCCTAGGCCCAGAGTTCAGGCCCCACAACTGGACCCAAACAAACAAAAGCTTCTGAGAAAATATCATTCCTTCTTCCTCCCTCTTTCCTCTTCCCTCCTCTCCACTCTCCTCCTCCTGATCTGATTTTTATTTTTATTTTTTGTGAACACACTGTACAGAGGGGTTACAATTACATGGGCAGGTTAATGCGTACATTTCTTATCAAGCATTGCAGCCTCCTCCTTTGTTTACCCTTCACATCCCTTCCCAGCTTCCCCCTCCCACCCCCCTCCTGATCTGATTTCTGCCTTGAGATGGTGAGGTGGAAGGTTGAGGATTTTCTTCTACTTTCCCCGTACTCCTGAGCCGACTGGCCACCAGAGGGCGCCCTGGAACCAGGATAATATTCTTTGGAGCGACTCGAGGTGAGCTGCTGGCTGGAAAGAGTTATAGACTAAGGCCCCCAATTTGGGGGGCATTTGTTTTCTGTTTTCAGAACTGCTTTTTCCCCCTTTTATTGCTGCTAATGAGCTCGCTCAGCTTGCTTGGCTGGTACTTTACTTGGGTATTTACCTCCTCTAGCTTTGCCTTTTTGCTGGTGATTTTGGAGATGGAGTCTTGAGGGCTTTTTTTTTTTTTTTTTTGCCCAGGACAGTTTCAAAACATGATCCTCTGGATCTTCTGGACTATTACCTCCAATGCACCACCAAAAAGCTAGAAGTGGGGCTGTGGTTCAAGTGGCAGAGAGTTAGCCTTGAGTGAAAAAATTCAAGGATAATGCCCAGGTCCTGATTTCAAGCCCCACCAGGACTGGCATCAAAAAAGAAGAGAGAGAGAGATAGAGAGACAGACAGAGAAGTAGTTCCCAATTTTACTCTTTGAAGGAATTAGCAAAACTAGAATAGAGAGAAAACTTCATGTGGAAGAGCTTGGAAACATCAGAGGTCTGGGCTGGGAAGGTGGCTCAGTAGTAGAGTGCTTGCCTAGCATGCATGAAGCCCTGGGTTCCATTCCTCAGCACCACATGCACAGAAAAAGCCAGAAATGGCACAGTGGCTCAAGTGGTAGAATGCTAATCATGAGCAAAAGAAGCTCAGGGACAGTGCCCAGACACTTGAGTTCAAGCCCCAGGACTGGCAAAATAAAAAATAAAAAAGATCCTTCTAGTTTATAGTTGCTCTCCACCCCTTCAATATACTTAGCAGAGAAGAAACACTGTGCTGGGATTGGTGGGGGCGGGGGGCAAGAAGAAGTGGGGAGCTAGGCAAGAAGAAGTGGGCAGGCCAGGCTTTGAGGTGTCATAATCCTGTCTAGGCCTGTCTCAATCCTTGGGCCTTAGTAGGAGCCATTGCTCCTGGGGCTGACCTATCCTGGCTGAGGTAAAAGCTTCTTGTACAATCTGCCACTGCTGCTGAACAAATTGCCCACATTGGGCAAGGTGCTGTGTGGGAGAGAGGCGGAGGGTGGAAGTTGGAGCTGACCTTCCCCCTTTTGACCTCTCTGAGCAGTGCCCGTCCCAGAGCGAACTGGAGCTGGGCCTCTGCACATCTTTCGAGTCTGAGGTCCACGACTCCGAGGCTGGCTCCAGGACTGTGCGTGCATTCTGTAGGAAAGGGGTAGAGCTGAGGAGAAAACCCAACCCAAGGGGTTAATCGTGAGGAAACAGGTTCCTTTTGTGTAACATTCCTCCAAGCCTTGAATGAGCTGTGAGTGCTGGGGCTCTAGGTCACAAGGCGGATGTGGCCTCTGTCCTGAATGAGGAGCCTTTTTCACAGGAATCTTGCCAGATGGGGCTGGGAAGGTGGCTCAGTGGTAGAGTGCTTGCCTTGCATACAAGAGGCCCTGGGTTCAACTCCTCAGCACCACATAAGCAAAAAAAAAAAAAAAAGAATCTTGCCAGACCACTGTTCTATGTGGAACGGTGAACAGTCCTATATGCATGGTTGGAGAGGAGGAAAGAGGAATTGACTCCCCACTCAACCCCCAGTTCCCCACCCCATCACCCTCAGGCTGTTTTGAGGTTTCCTGAGTACAGCCTTAGCCTCCTTCCCTTATACACATTCAAGATGGCCTGGCCGGGGTCTGGTAGGGTCTTCAGAGGAGAATTAGATTGTTTTGTTTTTGGCCAATCCTGGGGCTTGAACTCAGGGCCTGGGCACTGTCCCTGAGCTGCTTTTGCTCAAGGCTAGCGCTCACAGTGCTATTTCCAGCTTCTTTTGTGGATGTGGTACTGAGGAATCAAACCCAGGGCTTCACGCATGCTAGGCGAGCACCCTACCACTGAGCCACATTCCCAGCCCTATGGCCACACTTGATGCAAAATTGAGCATCCATCAACCACTGCTAGCATCTTGTCCTATTGTGTGAATTTCTAGGGAAGAGAAAAAAAAGTCTGCTTCTGAACTGGTACATATCCCAAGAACTCAATGAAATACAGGTGCAGCTGTGTGAGTAAAGAGTTCATTTGGGGTTACTTACAAAGCAGTGATGGCTCCAGTTACCCAAATCAACAGGAAATCACTGACACCCTGCCCTCCAAACGTCTATTCCACGTGTCAACGTAGACTTAGCGCGCCCCCTGGTGTCCAAAATGGGAGAAGGCGCCACAGGTTCAGATGAACCAAGGCACAGACAGAACCAAACACTAGGAAAGTTCTGTTTGTGTGCAACTCATCCACGCTAGACCGTGAGGTCGGCTTTGTTTTGCTGTGGTCTGGTACAGAGAACAGCTGTAAGATGGAGATATTCTGGCAAGGATTCTGAGAACAAGTCTCACTATACATGGCCCTCAATATTTACTGATGGCTGCTGCTCTCTCTCTCTCTCTCTTTTGCCGGCTTGAACTCAGGACCTGGGTGCTGTCCTTTGTGATCAAGGCTAGCACTCTACCACTGAGCCACATCACCATTTCTGACTTTTTCCAAGCAGTTTATTGGAGATACAGAGTCTCACAGACTTCCCTGCCTGGGCTGGCTTTGAACCATGATCTTCAGATCTTAGTCTTCTGGGTCCAGGTATGTGCCACTGGCACCCATTGTTTGTTTTGGTTGGTTCTTTTCTTTCTTTCCTTTGTTTTTTCTTTCTTTTTTCTTTTTGGTCGGCCGTGGGGCTTGAACTCTGGGCCTGGGCACTATCCTTCAGCTCTTCAGCTCAAGGCGAGCGCTCTACCACTTGAGCTACAGCACCACTTCCGGTTTTCTGGTGGTTTATTGGAGATAGGAGTCTCACAGTCTCTCCTGCCCGGGCTGGCTTTGAACCTCGATCCTCAGATCTCAGCCTCCTGAGTAGCTAGGATTACAGGCGTGAGCCACCAGCGCCCAGCTCTTTTTTTCTTTCTTTCTTTCTCTTTATTATTATTATTATTTTTTTTTTTGTCAGTTGTGGGGCTTGAACTCAGGGCTTGGGTACTGTCCTTGAGCTTTTTTGTTCAAGGCTACCAATCTACCACTTAGAGCCACAGCACCATTTCTGGGTTTCTGGTGGTTAATTGGAGACAAGAATTCTGTCCAGGCTGGCTTCAAACTATGTTTCTCAGATCTCAGCTTCCTGAGTAGCTAGGATTACAGGTATGAGCCACCAATGCCTAGCTTGCTTGCTTGCTTGCTTCTTTCCTTCTTCCCTCCCTCCCTCCCTCCCTCCTCTCCCTCCCCTCTTTCTTTCTATTTTTGTCGGTCATGAGACTTGAACTCTGGGCCTGGGCGCTGTCCCTCAGCTCTTCAGCTCAAGGCGAGCACTCTACCACTTGAGCCACAGTGCCACTTCCGGCTTTTTTTTCTGCTTATGTGGTGCTGAGGAATTGAACCCAGGGCCTCATGCATGCAAGGCAAGTGCTGTACCACTGAGCCACCTTCCCAGCCCCTTATTAGATAATTTGAGGGAAAGGAAAGGTCCTTTTCTTTTTGTGGTATTGGGATTTGAACTTGTCTCTGTATTTGCTAGGCAAGCACTTTGTAGGCAGGGGCTCTTCAGCTGAGCCACACCTCCAGGTCTAGGGAAGGCTTAAGGAAACACATTTTTGCTTGGGATTTGCTTATATTAGAAGGTGGAGTTGGGGGCTGGGAGGGTGGCTCTGCGGTAGTGTGTTTGCCTTGCATGCATGAGGCCCTGGGTTCGATTCCTCAGCATCACGGAAACAGAAAAGGCCGGAAGTGGTGCAGTGGCACAAGTGGTAGAGTGCTAGCCTTGAGCTGAAGAGCTGAGGGACAGTGCCCAGGCCTAGAGTTCAAGCCCCACGACTGACAAATATGTGTGTGTGTGTGTGCGTGCGTGCGTGCGTGCGTGTGTTATAGATAGATCTATAGATATGGTGGGGTTGATTCTGATCAGCTATTTTAATCAATTTGTAGCGTTGGATTTGAATGCCCAGGCTGGTTTTGAACCGGGATCCTCTGATCGCCTCACTAGTTAGAATCACAGGCATGCGACACCCTGGGCCTGGCATCATTTCTCGGGGCTTGAACCCAGGGTCTGGGCACTGTCCCTGAGCTGCTTTTGCTCCAGGCTAGCACTCTACCACTTGAGCAAGAGTCCCACTTCCGGCCTTTTATGTTTATGCGGTAGTGAGGAATCGAACCTGGGGCTCCACATTCCCAGCCCATTGCACCTTAATCGGAACCTCGCAGTTTCCATGGCAACGGGAGGGACGGCAGAAACCCTCACAGCCAATCAGTAGTGCGCTTATGCACATGCGCCGTAGCGGGCCAGTGAGCTACGACCGTGGCGTTTGCGCACGCGCATTCCTTGCAGAAGCGAGCGTGAGGTCGCCAGGCGCGTGAATGTGCCCCCGTCACCTTCCCGTCTTCGCTCATCCAGGGCGCTCGGTTTCAGAGCTTGGAATGTTCCCGGAACTTAATAACCTTCTCAACATCAGCCCTGACCGGGCGGAGCAGGCAAGATGTCGTGGAGGCCTGAAGGGAGACGGGCTTTGAGAGAATGGTGGAAGCCTTACATCCGGGACCTACGCGCGGGAACCGGGAAAGCTCGGGCTTCTGGGAGTTGTAGTCCATTGAGGAGGGGGCGTGGTCTGGGTCTGAGTCTGTGGCCGCAGCAGGCAAGCCCTGGCCCTGGGGAATGTGGATTTCTAGGTGGTCTTCCTAATGACAGGTGGTCTCCTCGAGGCCTCCAAGACGCCGTCTGTGCCTTGGTGTGGCCCCACGTGCTAGGCAAATTGTAGGATTCCATAGATCCTGGAGGATGGTAGTTAGCTAGCAATTGCCCTGCCCAAGCCTGCAGATAGCTCTGGTTATCTGGCCAGCTCTGGTTTATCTTAGGCTAGAATTAGAGTGAAAGAATGGAGGATTGAAGTGGACATCAGGAAATGACAGCCTGGGAAGTAGCCTTCAAGTCCTGATAGCGGGATCTTTCTTGATGTTTATTATTATTATTATTTTATTGTTGGGGTGCAGGCCCTTGGGCTTGAACTCAGGCCTCTATCCCTGAGCTTTTGTATTCAAGGCCAGCACTTTACCACTGGAGCCACATCTCCACTTCTGTCTTTTTGGTGGTTCATTGGAGGTGAAAGTCCCATGGATTTCCTGATTGTGCTGGCTTGGAACTGTGATCCTCAGATTTGACATTCCTAAGTAGCTAGGATTACAGGCATGAGTTGCCAGAGCTTCACAAGTCGAATTTTTTTGTTTTTTTCTGGTCCTGGGGCTTGAACTCAGGGCCTGGGCACTGCCTTGAGCTTCTTTCAGCTCTAGACTAACGCTGTTTCATTTGAACCACAACGCCAATTTTTTTTGGGGTGTTGGTAGTGGGGCTTAAACTCTGGGCCCAGGAGCTATCCCTCAGCTCTTCAGCTCAAGGCTAGCACTCTACCAGTTGAGCCACAGCACCACTTCTGGCTTTTTCTCCTTATGGGGTGCTGAGGAATTGAACCCAGGGCCTCATACATGCCACGTTCCCAGCTGGGAAGAAAAATTTTTCTACCCTAGTTTGCCTTCTGAAACTGGAGATCAACCTTTTTTTGCTCATCATAAGTTTAGTTATTGACTTTTCCCAAAATTCTGACTTATTGTCTTCATTTCCAAGTAGACTTGATATGTTTGCAGTTAATAAATACCTTCTCCAAAAAATACATTTTCCAGGTATAGAAATTTACATAGCAGGGACACAGGTGGCTCACGCTGTAATCCCAGCTCCTCAGGAGGCTGAGATCTGAGGATCACAGTTCCAAGCCAGCCCAGGCAGGAAAGTCTGTGAGACTCTTCTCTTTAATAAAGCTGGAAGTGGCGCTGTGGCTTGAGTGATACAGTGCTATCCTTGAGACAAAGACTTTAAAGGACAACACCCATCCCCAGAGTTTAAGCCACAGGACAGGCAAAAAAAAAAAAAAAGTTTACACAGTCAACTAGATTTCTGCACTATTTTGACTTCTTTCCAGGGAGAATAATTATCTTTTTATTTTTTTTTTTATTTTTTTTTATTTTTTTTTTTTGGGTCCGGTCGTGGGGCCTGAACTCTGGGCCTGGGCGCTGTCCCTCAGCTCTTCAGCTCAAAGCAAGCGCTCTACCACTTGAGCCACAGCACTACTTCCGGCTTTTTTCTTGTTGCTTATGTGGTGCTGAGGAATCGAACCCAGGGCCTCAGGCATGCAAGGCAAGCGCCCTACCACTGAGCCACCTTCCCAGCCCCTCCAGGGAGAATAATTATCTGTATTTCTCTTAACTTCTAGGGGAAACTGACTCTACTCTGTGATTCCAAGACGGATGGAAGTTTTCTTGTGCACCACTTTCTCTCCTTTTACCTCAAAGGTATGAGACTCACTGATGTTATAGGAAAAGAAACCTAGCCGGGCACCGATGGCTCATGCCTGTAATCCTAGCTACTCAGGAGGCTGAAATATGAGGATTGTGGTTCAAACCAGCCTGGGTAGGAAAGTCCGTGAGACTCTTATCTCCAATAAAACACCAGAAAAACCAGAAGTGGCATTGTGGCTCAAGTGGTAGAGCACTGGCCTTGGGCTGAAGAGCTGAGGGACAGCACTGAGACAAGGGACAAGCCCCACGACTGACCAAAAAAAAAAAGAAAAGAAGAAAGAAACCTAAGGCAAAAGGAAAAAGAGGCTGAGTGTTAGCAGCTCTTGCCTGTAATTCTAACTACTTAAGAGGCTGAGATCTGTGGATTGTAATTTCAAGCCAGGTGAGGCAGGAAAGTCTATTAGACTTTTTTTTTTTTTTTAACCAGTCCTGGGGCTTGAACTCAGGGCCTGGGCTCTATCCCTGAGCTTCTTTTGCTCAAGGCTAGCGCTCTACCACTTGAGCCACAGTGCCACTTCTGGCCTTTTCTGTGTATGTGATACTGAGGAATTGAACTCAGGGTTTCATGCATGCTAGGCAAGCACTCTACCACTAAGCCACCTTCCTAGCTCCTCCATTAGATTCTTATTTACAGTTTACACCTAAAGGCCAGAAGTAGAACTGTGGCTCAAGTGGTCAAGTGGTAGCTTTGAGTGAAAAAGCTAAAAGACAGCACCTACATCCTCAGACTAACTCAAAAAAAGAGAAAAGTAATCATCTGGGTGCTGATGGCTCACATCTCTAATCTTAGCTACTCAAGAGGCTGAGGCCAGCCTAGGGAGGAAAGCTTCTGAGCTTCTTTTTTTCTTTCTTTTTTTTTTCTTTTCTCAGTTATAGGGCCTGAACTTGGGGCCTGGGCGCTGTCCCTCAGCTCTTCAGCTCAAGGCTAGCGCTCTACCACTTGAGCCACAGCGCCACTTCCGGCTTTTTCTGCTTATGTGGTGCTGAGGAATCAAACCTGGGCCTCAAGCATGCAAGGCAAGCACTCGACCACTGAGCCACCTTCACAGCCCCTCTCAGGGACTTTTCTGCCTGAGCTGACTTCAAACTGAGATCCTCAGATCTCAGTCTCCTGAGTAGCTAGGATTATAGGTGTGATACACCAGTGCCCTGCTTCTTCCCCTTTTGTGTTTTTTGGTCAGTCATGGGGCTTGAACTCTGGGCCTGGGAGCTGAGGGACAGCTCAAGGAAAGTGCTCTACCACTTGAGTCACAGTACCACTTCTGATTTTTCTGGTGGTTTATTAGAGATAAGAGTCATGGACTTACCTGCCTGGGCTGGCTTTGAACTTCGATCCTCAGATCTCAGCCTCCTGAGTAGCTAGGATGACACGTGTGAGCCACCAGCACCCCTCTGGCTTCAGAGATTCTTATCTCCAATTAACTACCAAAAAAGCCACTGTCACTGTGGCTCAAGTGGTAGAGCACTACCTTCGAGAAAAATAAGTTCAGGGACAGTTCCCACAATCTTGAGTTCAAGCTCTAGGACCCCCCCCCCAAAAAAAAAAAACAAAACCCACCCCAAACAACTATCATGACCACCAATAAAAAAGAAAGAAAGAGGAGCTGGGAAGGTGGCTCAGTGGTAGAGTGCTAGCCTTGAGCTGAAGAGCTGAGGGACAGTGCTCAAGCCCAGAGTTCAAGCCCCAGGACAGACAAAGAAAAAAAAAAAAAGGAAAGATTAAATTTATTTATAGGAGAACAAAATTGAGTTATCTGGGAATACTTCTCAGAGAAGTATCTCTCAGAATATATCTCCTATATAACTATCAATATGAAAAAAATGGGTATTTTATCCTCTAAACATTTTTGTTTTGGTAGGTTTTGGGGCTTAAACTTAGGGCCTGTGCGCTGTCCCTGAGCTCTTTTACTCAAGCCTAGCGCTCTGCCCCACTTCTGGTTTTCTGGTGGTTCATTGGAGATTAAGAGTCTCATGGACTTTTCTGCCCAGAGTGGCTTTGAACCATGATGTTCAGATATCAGCCTCCTTAGTAATTAGGAGGTCAAGCGTGAACCGGCTCTAGATGGTGTGTGTGTGTGTGTGTGTGTGTGTGTGTGTGTGTGTGTGTGTGTGTGTGTGTGTGTGTGTGTGTGTGTGTGTGTGTGTGTGTGTGTGTGTGTGTGTGTGTGTGTGTGTGTGTGTGTGTGTGTGTGTGTGTGTGTGTGTGTGTGTGTGTTGATTGTGGGGCTTGAACTAAAGTTCTGGACAAGGTCCCTGAGCTTTTTTGCTAAAGGCTAGAGCTCTACCACTTGAGCCACAGCTTCACTTCTAGCTTTTTCAGTACTTCATTGGAAATAGGAGTCTCATGGAGTTTCTTGCCTGAGCTGGATTTGAACTGTGATCCTCACATCTTAGCCTCCTGAGTAACTAGGATGGTAGACTTGAGCCCCTGGTCCCGGCTGCCTCTGGATGTCTTGATCTGTTTGAGTGCTTCTGTTTCCAGAGGAATGAAGTACGTGCACTAAGGATCAGTTTTATTTCCTAGCTAACTGTAAAGTCTGCTTTGTGGCTCTCCTCCAGTCCTTCAGTCACTACAACACCGTGGGACAGAAACTGGTAAGTATTCTAGAATTTCCCCGAGTGATCCTGTGTGCCATGTTTGTATCAATGTAGGGTAAAGGACTTAGAAAAGGAACGAGGGCTGGGAATGTGCCCTAGTGGTAGAGTGCTTGCCTAGAATGCATTAAAACCCCTGAGGTTTCATTCCTCAGTTCCGCACATACACAGAATGCCAGAAAATGGTGATAGAGTGCTAGCTTTGAACTGAAGAGCT